GCAACCTCCAACTCCTGGGCTCAAGTGAGTCTCCTGCCTCCGCCTCCCAAGTAGCTGGGACAACAGGCGCCCACACAACGCCTGGCCATTTTTTGGTTGCAGCCATCATTGTTGTTTGGCAGGCCTGGGCTGGGGATTCGAACCCGTCACATTAGGTGTATGTGGCTGGCGCCTTAGCCGCTTGAGCCACAGGCGCCGAGCCGCAAGATTGATTTTTAAAAGGAAATCAGAAGAAAAACCTCAAGTTTTGAAGCGGGAAAGAATAAAGAACTTACAGAATTGTGAAAATTTGTCCTGCGTTCAGCTGTACATTGTTCAGCTGGGCGATGAACACTGCGGCCACACACTGGAAGATGGCTGCTCCATCCATGTTCACAGTGGCCCCGATGGGGAGTATAAATCGGCTGATCCTTTTGTCTACACCATTGTTTTCTTCAATGCACTTAATCATAGAGGGAAGGGTTGCTGAGCTACAATGGGAAAAACAAACAGCTAAACACAGTTAACATGACTCATCTCAAACTCTGGGTACAGCAATTACTGAACACACACAGTGCCATCCCAATCTCTGTCTTTCTTCTCCTGAAATAAGGGAAAGAACAGAACTGTTTCAAAGTTTCTGCCACAAGGACTCAAAATAAGACTCCCTGGATTTACTGGGGCTCATCTGCTCCACATTTCCCAAGACCTACACATTGCCTCTTGGTGGAAAAGGTTCCCAAGAACAAAAACTATTTACCTACATGTGCATTTCCTCTCTTGAACGCTCTTACCTCAAAAAAAGTAAAATGTAAACTATGTTTGTTTTTTTTTCCCTTTTAGGCCAAGAAGCAGAAGTGGCTTTGTGAATCTGGAAGGAAGAACTGAGTAAGCAGATAAGCACCTGCTCCCTCCGGCTGGCTCTGCAGGTTCCACAGAGGTGAGCTGGTGCAGCTGAGAAATAGCATGGTTTGTTTTTGCCAAGGTCAGAGGCACTTCCCTCCCTAATTCTTTTTTTACTACCACCCCTTCTTGTCATACATGTATAAATAACCATCCAGAACGAAAGTAAGCTGTGGAGAGGCAAAATGTGCTGCCATCCTTTAAAAGTTTTCTTTAACATGTTTGGAAGGCCCAATATTTTTTTTTTGAAGGATGTCTAGAGAATAACCAGGTACATCTTTTGGGCTAAATTAGATGATCCCAGAGCAGGTGTCCTCAAACTACGGCCTGTGGGCCACATGCAGCCCGCCTAGGACATTTATCTGGCCTGCAGGGTGTTTTTGCCACTGCTGCCTGTCCTGCTTAGCAGCCGACTCATCCCGGGGCCTGCAGTCTGGCTCTCCAATGGTCTGAGGGACAGTGAACTGGCCCCCTGTTTAAAAAGTTTGAGGACCCCTGTCCCAGAGTATAGTGGACCTCTAGAAAGCTAAGCACACATATCTAACCATGGTGCCTTGGTGAATTAGAAATAATTCACACTTACAGAAAAGAACTGGGCATGAACCATTCTAGAAACTCCCCTGAAATGCATTTCCTTGAGTTAGGTGGGCTGCTGCCTTTTACTCAGGCAGAGTTTTCCTAATTAGGACAGGGACCAGAGCTAACTAAGGATCTGCCTGATCTTTAAGGAGCAAGAAGAGGGAGAAGGAAATGAAGTAACCTCGGCAGATCAGGAGATGAAACAGAAACTCACCCCACAGGAATATGGAAAAGCTGTGGGGTTGAGAATTTTAAAAAATCATATGAGACTGGGCATGGTGGCATGCACCTATAGTTTCAGCTATTCAGGAGTCTGAGGAGGGAGGACTGCTTAAACCTAGGAGTTGGAGACCAGGTTGGGTAATGTAGCAAGAGTCCTGTCTCTAAAAAAAAAAAAAAAAAAGAAAAAAATCATATGAGACTGGGCATGGTGGCATGCACCTGTATTTTCAGCTATTCAGGAGGCTGAGGAGGGAGGACTACTTAAACCTAGGAGTTGGAGACCAGGTTGGGTAATGTAGCAAGACTCCTGTCTCTAAAAAAAAAAACAAAACAATCATATGAGACCAATTTAGAGTTTTCAAGAAATAAAAATATGTCATGATGCTGATTGTGCCTCTGCCACTGGGCTCACCTGGTTCCATATTAATACAGTGGGAGCAGCTAAGGGCACCCAAAACTCACTCACCTGGAGCAGGTAGCAAATGCTGTTGCAAATGGTGTGAGGAGGCCCAGGAGGAATCTGAACGGGTTTTTTCTTGTGCAAACAAAATAAATAAGTGGTAGAACAATTCCTCCATGAATAACGTGGCCCAATATAGATGCAAAGATATATTTCCCCAGGCTGGTCACCAGCACGATGATGTCCTTCATTTCCACAATCTTGCTTCCAACCAGGAACATGATGCCCACAGGTACGTACCTAGGACACAAGCAAAGGGAGCTCATCACTAAGGGCGGTGAGGCTGGGGCTGGTGGACGCGGGCCCCTCCTGATGCAGAATGCAGGGACTTTCAACGAGGCTACCTTCCTCTCTCCCCGGGGATAACCCTCAGGAACAGAAAAGGCTAGGGTATGCCAGCCCTATTTTACAGGCTGTGAGACTGAGTAAAGACAATCCTGCCCCATGGGTAATGAATGCAGTAGGACCAAGAATCCAGACTTCTTTCCTCTTGGATAGAGTATGTTCTTAATAGATGGCTGCTACAACGACATGGCCTCCCAGGCAGAAAGGCAAAGAACTCAAGATCAAAGCCTCTGGGACTGTGAGCTTGACTTTTGGCTTTGCTCAGGAGAATTTAGAAACACAAAAGACTAATACCTATTTCACAGAATTGCAGCGATACAAAATTGAGCCAAAGCCGAGAATCTGGTGAAGTTTTAAATTCTTTGTGGATTGAAAAACACGATCCCGTGGGAAAAAGTCATTCACAATGACACTCTGGGAACACTCTCGGAGCGTGAAGATTTTTTTAAAGGCAGAGTGGGAAGGAAGGAATTATTGTGGGAGCTACAAAGAACAAAAGTCAATTGTTTTGAATTTTCGGTAAATTCAGGAAGAATTTTATAACTATCGACTTTACTTGTAAAATTGAATTATATGGGCAATGATGTCATATAGTTCAAACTTCAGGGTGCAAAAGGGCAAACTGTGTGAAGTCTCCCTCTTGCCTCTGCCCCTCATCCCCCAGTTTCTATCTCCCTGGAGACAGCCAATGTCACTGATTTCTTGGGTTTTCTTTCTAGAGAAAGCAGTGCTAATAATTTTAAATCCTGGGTGGTGCCTGTGGCTCAAAGGAGTAGGGCACGGGTCCCATATGCTGGAGGTGGCAGGTTTAAACCCAGCTCTAGCCAAAAAACCCCAAAAAACTGCAAAAAAAAAAAAAGAAAGAAAGGAAGAAAAAAATTTTAAATCCCAGAGTAATACATGAATACGTCCTCCTTTCAAAAAATTAAAATATTATAGATTAGACCAAAATCCTTTTAGGTACCATCCTCAGGCCAAGGCCCTCAGATAGCCACTCCTACTTTCTATGTATATAGATACATAGGTACGTACTTAAATATGTATGTTTATTTTCCACCCTATGTTATGTCTTTGAGATATTTTTATATCAATACATAGACATCTACCTTCTTTTTTTATTGTGGCAAAACATACATAACATAAAATTTATCATTTTAACCATTTGAAGTGTATAGTTCAATGGCATTAAGTACATTCATACTGTTGTGCAATCATAACCACCATCTAATGGTGGATGAATAGATTAAAAAATGTAGGACGGCGCCCAAAGCTGAGTGTGTAGGGCTAACCCTAACCCTAACCCAGAACTTCTAGCACATTGGCCTGTTTTTAGATTGTCTATAATATCTAAACAACAATAATAACTGCAACAACAACAACAAAAATAGCTGGGCATTGTGGCGGGTGCCTGTAGTCCCAGCTAC